TGTCACCTGGTATTCTCCCTGCAAGCCTGCCTGTGTCCATGCCCCTTGGCACAGCAGCAGGTGGAGCTAGGGTCCAAACTGATGATTTTAACTTGATCCTATCTTCAAATAAAGTCATATTCTGGGTGCTGGGGATTAGGACTTCACCGTTTGCTCCTGGAGGGGCACAATGCAACCCATAATACACTGCATTCTATCCATGTACATGCCCATAAATACACACACTCACACACTATGAATAACAGTTCAAAAATTGATAAATTTTATTAAATCCTAAAGACATTTATATTCATGGGTTTAAATAATCATGGAGCCATCTTTGCATAACATTTCTAAATTTTTTTTTAATTTTAGTACAAGGTCTACAGTGTTTCACTATACAGATTGGATTTGTAGTGATTCTCCTGTTTTCAGCCTCACAAGCACTGGGATTATAGGTGCGTCCCACCATGCCCAGTCTCAATTGCTGTCTCAGGAGGCCCCCAGGGTGGGGTCGGCATAGCACAACGGGGATTGAACCCTGGTCCCTGTGTCTGCCTAAGCAGGTGCTTTAATCCACTGAGCTATCTGGTCGGCCCTCTAAAAAGTCTTTTTTTTTTTTTTTTTGTACCATCTTACTGAGGGCCTCCCAAAATAACCTAGCTTATCTTACTCCAGAAATAAAAGAACCGTATCCTGTACTCCCATCTTTCCACCTATGTTTCCAGATTCCCAGAAATATTCTAACCTGCTGTTTTGTTTTCTCTTTATAATAGAGAAATGTCCCATAAGTGAAATGCCTTTTAGAAAAGCTAATGAATCCAAATAAAGTTTAGAGTTTAGTGAAGGATCATGTATTAATATGGGTTCATTAGTTGTGACAAGTATACTATAGTTGTGTAAGAAGTAACAGCAGGGGAATTATATTTCACATTACATTATAAGGCGGGGCCAACCGAAGCACTGTGGTTTGGATGGAGAAACAGACACACAGACCATTGGGAAGATTGGAAAGCCCAGGAATAAACCCACGCACCTACAGTCACTTAGTCTTCAGCAAAGAACAGTAGGATTTCACAATGAGAATAGGGCATTCTCTTCAATATATGGTGTTAGGAAACTGATGTCCACATGGAGAAGAATGCAATTGGACTTTTATCTCACGACGTACACAAAATCAACTCAAGATGAATAAAACTTTTGAACTTAACACCTATATCCATAACAGGAGAAGAAAACATGGTGAAAGTTCCTTGACTTTCCATCTCAGCAGTGAGTTTTGGACACACCACCTTTGTCTGACACATAGAGGACAAAAGCAAAAGTAAACAAGTGGCACTAACTATATCAAACTAAAAAGCACAGCAAAGGAAACGCAACCGACAGAGTGGGGGAGAGTATTTGCATCTCTATTTTAAGGGTTAATAGTGAAGATGTGTGAGGAACTCGTACAACTCAGTAGGAGCCCACAGAACCCAGGGAAAGCAAAGCAGAGCTACACCGAGACATCACCGCAGGCCTGTTGGGGTGGCCATTGTTAAGTCAAAATATATCAAGAGATGATGAGGATAATGGAGAAAAATAACTCCAATGATAGGGAAAAATAACCAATGAGAGGAATTGATACAGCTGTTATAGCAAACTATGGAGGTGCCTGATAAAAGTAAAAATAGAATGAGTATTGATCCAGTAAGCCCAGTTCTGGGCATGTATCTGAAAGGAAATGAAATCAGAATCTAGAAGAATTATCTGCATCATTATGTTTGTTGCAGTATTAGTCACAGTTGCAACATTTGGAAGCAAATTGCGAATGAATGAGTGGATAAAGAAACTGTGGTGTATATATCCAAAGGAATATAATTCAGCCTCAAAAATCATACTTTGTGACAACTTGGGTAAACCTGGAGGATATACTATTTTATAAGATAAACCCGAGACAAAGAGAAATACTGCATGATCTCCTTATATGTAGAATCTAAAGAAATCAAACTTAAATCAGTAGAGGGATGTTTACTAGGGAAATGGGGAGACCTTGGCCTGAGGGGTACAAACTTTGAGCTATATAAGATGAACAGTTTCTGGGGACCAACTGTACAGTATGATGTCTGCAGTTAATAATGATGCACTGCCTACTTGACAGCTAAGTAAGATTTTAATTGTTTTTACTCCAGACCAAACGGTAATCACTTAGGAGATGGGTATGTGAATTAACTTGATAGTGGCGATCACTTCACTCTAAATGGATAGCAGAAGATCACTATACGCTGTAAATATATGCAGTTTTAATTTGGCAAACATATCTCACTAAGCCTTGAAAAATTAAAAAGAATAGGGGGAGCTGGGGTGTACATGAGGATTTTTTTGTATTATCTTTGCAACTTTTATGTAAAGTAGAAGTATTCTAAAATAAAAATTAAAAACTTCTTATAATATAAAATAGTGCCTGACACGGATAGACATTCTATGGATAGTGTGGTTAGAATAGCCATACAGTTAAAATTGTAGTTAAATGCCGCCGCTCATAGCTTTGTGTCTAAAGGCCTCTAGAGGACAGTGTTGTGTCATAGAAAGACTTTTACAGTTTCTGCCCCAGTAGATGGATTTAGCGTTTTTCTTCTTTTTCACCACAAGGCCTGTGTTTATATTCATAACCTCCCTCCCTTTTTTTCCCTACAAACACTAAGGAAAATGTATGCCCCTTCTGCGGCTCTGACTAATTGGATATCTTCTCTCAACCTATTATTTTGGTTTAATTTTGGCAAGCAGAAAGGTCTATTAAGGAAGAATGACCCGCAGAGTTTTCACCACAGTGTCCCCCCACCCCCAGGACGCAGTATGAGGCCCCTGCCGTGTGTCATCTTGAATGTTCACATGGCTGAAAAACTGCAGTCTGCAGTGTGCTGAAGATGTCAGGAGCTGCCGAAGGGCTGGCATTGTGTACAGCTTGAGATTGCCTGCTCCGCAGTGCTTTGCTGCTGGGCAGGAAAGGGAAGGAAGCCATCGCTCTAGTTCGTAGTGCAAATATCTGGAGGGAAACTCAGTGTTTTAAGAGGATTGCTCTGTGGGGAATCTCCTGAGACTGACACCCTGTTTTTAAGACTCCTAAGGTCAGAGACTCAGAGCGCTACTCAAGCACATCAGAGCCGTATGAACATTTGCAAAATGCTCACCTTGGCCCCAGAGGCAGCTGAAGACAGTTGTTTAAGTACTGATGAGCTCAGACATTTGGGAACAGTCTGTCATTAGAGGCATTAGGTCTGCACTGATGGTACAGCCTAGGGCCTCCGTTTACACTACTGCTGAATCTAGCATAAACATAAAAACTGGTTATTTGGGTGACTGTGTTCCACTTAGCAGTAGCCTATGGTTTCTTACTTTTTGCTCTCATGATCTGTTAAAAGCTCATCTGTTGAACTGGGGTCTATGAGCCTTTTAATTGGACTTTTTAAAGGGAGTGGAAAATTTATAGCTCCTCATAAAAAGGCTGGATTAATTAATTAATGTCTGCAGTGCTTCACACAGCCACTCCATCAAAATTGAACCCATGGGCAGAGATCTGTTTCATTCTCATCTCATAGTACTGCATACCAAAAATCCTCCATCTCAGAAACAGTGTTCTTGTAATTTACTGGTGACATAGCAAAATTCTATTAATCAGGTAGGTCGTTAACAAATCTTGCAATGAGGGCTGGTGAGATAGCTCAGCATCATAAAAGCCTGCCTGGCAAGGGCAAGGTCCTGAGTTTGATCCCTGGTACAAAAACATTTTTTTTGTTGTTGTTTCTTTTTGTGACAGCGTCTCACTATGCAGCTCAGGCTGGCCTTGAGCTCAGTTTGTAGTCAGGCTGAACTCCCAATGATCCTCCTGCCTCAGCCTCCCGAGTGCTGGGACTATAGGCGTGTACCACCACATCTGGTGTTAAATTAAGTTTTTAAAAAGACACATATTGCAATGACTTGAGATATAGTTAGGTCCATGAAATAATGACCGGTTGCCAACCAAAGGCAGCAACGTATCCCACCTGAGTCAGTCGGCAGCTACAGCATTGCCCTTGATGCCTCTTTTTTTTCTTCTTATCCATAATGGGTGCTGAACCAAGCTTATCAATTTTACTTCTTAAGCATTTCTTGAAACAATCCACTTCTATTTTCGTGGCCACCCCACCAGGCCAAGCCCCCATCACACCTGAGTAGACCACTGAAAAAGCCACCTCACCTGCAACCACAGTGATCTTTCAAGATTCACATCTCTGGGACCTTCAGGGACCTCCTATTGTTCTGGGAGTAACAACCAAAGTCTTTTATGGAGGGACAGGGCCTTGCAAGGTCTGCTCCCTTCTCTGTCCCGCTTCCTCTGGAAACATCCTCCCTGCTGCCGTCTCTGCAGCAGCCTCACGGCCTCTCTGCGTCATCGTGGTCCCAGTGCCTGCAGTTCGCTCTGCCGGAGAGTCTTCCTTCCTCTACACCTCCTGGATGAATCAGCTCAAGAGTTAGAAAGTCTCCTTTAGGGCCAGCCAGATAGCTCAGTGGACTAAAGTGCTTGTTTAGTGAGAGCGCAGTTGGCCGGGGTTTGATCCTGGCATCCCGTGTGCTGAGCCAGCCCCGCCCCTGGGGAGCGCTGAGACAAAGATTGAGACGGCGTGGTGTTGCACACCTGTAATCCCAGCGCTTCGGAGGCTGAAAACAGAAGAATCACTATGAGTCCAATCTACATAGTGAGACATTGTAGACCCTGTACTAAATATACAAAAAAAGGAAAAATAAAATCTCCTTTATTATTCATTCCTATAGAACCATGAAGAGTTACTTCATTTCAATGCATATATTCAGAATGAGACACTTACTTTTTGCTCTTTTTGAGTGATGCATTCTGCTCCAGAAGAATACAAGTTCTGCGAGCAGGGGTCAGGCCCAGCTGTCCTCCTCACCACCCTCCAGCGCTGGGCAGAGTGCTTTTACAAAGTAGTGCCTCAGTGCATATGCGAAGTAGGTAAGTGGCTGTTCCTTTATTGGATGTTTAGGTAGAGGAAGAAGAACCCACTGGATACATTCGCTATGAGAAGTTTCTTCCTGTGATGACCAAAGTACTTCTGGAAGAAAGGTAAGTAAGCTAGTGCAGCTTAAGGCAGGCGAGTGGTTAGGGTCCCATGACTTTGAAGCACTTGACTCTTTCCCTCTGTGTATTTTACTCCAAAGATCTTAGGTTGGTATCTTTCTAATCTTTTAATGTACTCCTGAATTGCCAGTTGTGGTGTGCTTAGAAAGCCAACCATGTTAGTCTAAGCAAAGCATCATCAAAGGTCAAAGACGCTGAAAGAATAATCAATCAATAATATCCTAATCATCAACTATTTTCAATGGTCAACTACCAATAAGAATTAACCCCAGTTATTTTTCTCAGAAAGTGTAGCATTAGCTTATCAAAGTTGGCTTCTTCACATGGAGAGAAAACATTCTCTCAGGCTTTCACAGAGAGCACATTGGCCAAGCAATGGCCATGACTCATCCACATGGCTGACACGGACAAAGGTTCTACAATCTCAGGTATAGGATCTCAGGATAAATCCTGAGGAGATTTCACTGACCTTATCAGACCCAGAAGCTACAACTCTTATTGCATAGGTCTTGCTTTATCTTAGTCTTAACTATCCAGCAGAAAAGTATAAAAACAAAGTATAAAAAGTAAAGCCATATTAATATGCTGAACTGTAAAAGGCTCAAGTCAACAACTTCTGACATTGCCAGTCTTACGAAAAACCCACTACTATTTATGGACTACTGTACAATATTGGAATATTTTGCTAGATTCACTCACCTATAATATTCAAATGATAATGATATACCCATCTCTCACAAAACTAAACAAAAAAGGGGATACAAATGAACAACCATTTTGTATCTGTATATTCAAAATAGGATAGATATACAGCTACATTCTCTTAATTCAATGAACAGAAAGATTTGTTCTAGTAGTGTTTGTGGACAGGATATCATGTCTGCATCTTGTACAATGAATAACCACTAAAAAGACAACAATATGCAATGTATTATTGAAACTGTCCTACTAATCAGTTTTGAAACTATCTCATTGTTATTTGTTTCTCAATAAAATTATTAAAATAAAAAAAGAAGAACACAATGTAAAGATAAAAAAAATAAAGTTGGCTTCTTGGAGAGATTTTGTTCCTGGATAAATTGATTGTCAAGATGAGAAAAAACTAATAGACAAGATTAAGTATGACAATGATTTTGATCTAAGTACTTCCATAGGAGTGAGGTACAACTGACTGTCATATCTAGAAATCCAAAAATATTTCAGTGAGAGAAGCATCATTATCCTAGTATGTTAGCAACTTTAATTTTTAAAGTGTTCCTTTATAATGTAGAGACTGAAATAAATTCTCTGGCATTAACTTTCTTATGGCATAATTATAGATACAGACCAATTCCAGACGATGTCCTTCTTCAGGCCTTTGAGGTGTGTATGCTCCAGCTCATTCATAGAGTCAGGGGAAAATCAAATATGTGGTAAATGCTTACGTTAAAAATTTGTTACAGTGAAAGATCCATTTGTTACAGTGAAAGAAAGCTCTAATATTCCTAGAAATCCTCACTCTCACTTCAAGCACATTTATCTCATCATTCTTGTCATTTTCTGAAACAACTCTGGAAGTCTCCTCTCATGAGTGTCTTTATGAGATGTGATTTAAAAAATACAGTTACTGCTGCCTCTGGTGCTGTCCAGTGGAAAGGCAGGCCTGGAAAGACATTGCAGTGTGCTTCTCACCCACCTTACTCACATGACCCAGCACCCTGCAACTTCTGGCTCTTCTTCCAAGCCACAGGAACCATGAAAGGGAAATGATTTCAACTGGTCCAGGATATCGAGGCAGCAAGAAAACACAGCTAGAAATTTGTGAAAAAAGTCTGCCAGAACTGCTTCAGAAAGTGGCAAGAGTGATGGGACAAGTATGTTGGAAGCAAGGGGGACTATTTTGAAAGAGTTTAATGGAAATTTCTCATTTACTATAATAAAATTTTTACAAACACTCAGATATTTTTCAGCCATAACCTCTATATGAAAATTTTATTATGTAAAATTTATTTACCAAACTAAATATGTAATATCTGCTTCCCCTCCCCCCCAGACTTTAGATTCAGCTAAACGTGGATTTCTTACTAAGGATGAATTGGTCAAGTATATGACCGAAGAAGGTAAGATGCTTTATTACTTATAACAGTGACTTAAGATTAATAGTGTTTAACAACAATTTTTAAAATGTTATGGGGGATTCTTTAAAATAAATTAATTCTAGTTAAAAGTTACTTATTATTTTCATCATTTTGATTTGGGAGTGGTTTTGGTTGGAGTTTAGGAGGACAAAGGGGTAAGATAAAGGAAGACAGATTATTGCTTCATAAGTTTTTATATGATAGAAGTTTAATGGTTCCTTCTATAGATTGCAGTCACTTGCAGGAGAGGGAGCATAAGCCTGTAATCACAGCACTCTGGGAGGGTAGGGCAGAATTGCAAGTTCAAGCCCAGCCTGGCTAACTTAGGGATTTAGTGAGATCCTGTCTAAAAAAAAAAAAAAAAATTAAAAAGAATTGGGCTGGCAAGATAGCTCAACAGACTAAAGTGCCTGCGTAGGCAAGCTTAGGGAAGTGCAGGGACTGCGGTTCGATCCCCTGCACCACATGCCATGCCAGCCCCACCCCCAGGACTTGCTGAGTTGGCCACAGAGTCCGGGGTGTAGTAGTGCACACCTATAATCCCAGTGTTGGGAGGCTGAAAATGGGAGGATCACCACGAGTCCAAGCTGTGTAGTGAGACCCTGAAACAACCAAATACATTAAAAAGAACAATAATAAAAAATAAAGAAGGCTGGCCAAATAGCTCAGAGGATTAAAGCACCTGCAAGCAGGTGCAGGGGCCAGGGGTTTGATCCCTGGGCCTGCCATGCCAGCCCTGCCCCTGGGGCACACTGAGATGGCAATTGAGACTGGGCATGGTGGCGCACGCCTGTAATCCCAGCTCTTGGGATGCTGAAAACAGGTGAATCACTATAAGTCCAGTCTAGTAGTAAGACCCTGAACACTCTGAGCACCCTGTAGACCCTTCCCTAAAAATACAAAATAATAATAATAATAATAATAATAATAATAATAATAATACTTAAAGAAAGGATTGGAGGTTGTAGCTCAGCATGAACACCCTGGGTTACACACATACATATGCAACCAGTTCATTCACGTAGAGTATTTCTAGAATGAAAGGTATGGCACCTAGAAAACATGAACTGTGAACCAATGCCTGTATTCGATTATAAAGATGAACTAGAGTATACACAAAATTTCTTTCAAAAGAGCTTGGTAAAGTTAAAAATAATAACACAGCCTTAACTGAATATGAATTTGCCCCAAATTTTATATTTTATGCTAATGGAGAAATTTATATTTGCTTTGACCATAGGCTGGCATCTACACACATATGTTCATGTAATTTCCATTAGGATTTCTCCCTACTTAGGCCAACATATGAATCTGCTTCTGACATCCTGGATGTCAGTGCCTGAGAAGACAGTCTCAGAACCATTCTTGTATCAGCTCCCTCCGCTACTCCTGTACAAAGCTAAGGATTCTGTCTCCTTTGCTGAATTCATTGCTCCAGAGACTGACTCTGGGGTGATTCTGAGTCACTTATAATTTGAGAAAGGATCAGCAGAGCGAGTAATTCTGTGGAGGGAAGACTAAGACATCCACATGCACAACTGGTTTGGCCGTCTTCACTTGATCCACCTTTAGGTAGGAGAAGAGGAAGTGAGGGTAAGAATAGCGTGAGAGTCACGGCAGCCACCCAGGAACTCCTAGGACATTGTTAAAGTTATCTTAGGGATTAACTGTGGTGGGAATGTTACGACTTTCAAAGCATTCACCTTTTAATCCTAAGGATTAAAGGAAATAATCATATTAGGCAACATGAATTTAGTCAAAATGGCCAAAACGGTTCAATTTCATGAACATTGTGTGCTTGCTCTATGTGTCGCATTGAGTGGGCACAACAATACTGAGAACTGCATTCTCTCCTGAGGATATTACAATCTTATTAGGGAAACAAAACTAATTTATTAAACAAATCACAGTATAAATAAATAAAGTACAAAAAATAACTATGAGAAGATTAATGTAGGGTTGAGCAGCTTGAATGTCTTGGTTTTGGAAGCCTAAGAAAAAATAGGTTCTTGGAAACCCAAAGAAGGTAGAATTTACTTGGGTGAATTGTTGAGGTAAAATATGTTGCATCCTAGTCCTGTCCTACAGTAGGTCTCAACAAATTATCATAGCAAATTATCTATGATGAAGAAGGACTGAGTAGTTGAAGGAAACATGGGGAAAATGGGCTGGTGAGAGAGAAATACAGATGGGCAAAATGGTGTGAACAGAAGCTGGGGGTGGGCATCCATGTGGCCCCACAGGTCATGTTGGCCAGCAGTAGGAAATTAGGTGAGACAGATTTCTGGGGCTGAGCTGTGGACGCCTGGGCTCAGGACTCTGGGATTCATCCTGTGGGCGATGGGGTATTATAGGGCTTTGAGGAGATGAGTCACACATCTCAGGGGTGATTGTGGGAAAGCTGTTCTGGCTTCTGTGGGCTTGTTAGATGGGGAAGTTAGGCCAGGGAGCTCAGTTAGAGGCCAGCTCAGCATTTTGAAGGTGCCCTCATAGGGCCTAGCCCGGCAGTGGGCATGGGGATGGGGGAGGGATCATGCAGGGGGATTCTCTGCAGCAGGACCCCTGATCCCTGAGTAACAGGGCAGGTGACAGTGGTGGGCACAGAGTCAAAAATGACAGCAAGGCTCAACCCAGGTGTCAGGTGTGGTGGCAACGCCAGTGGCCAAAATGGGAGTGGAGGAGTGGCACTTTTGCAGAGACAGAGCACAGTGCCACTGTGTAGTTTACTTGGCAGTGCCATGTGACACAAGAATTTCCAAAAGGTAAACAGTATTAAGGGCCAACTATTGGTGATTTCAACAGACTGAGCATTGGAAAAAATGTATTTCAAATACATGAGTTCAGTTTTTCATTCAACAAATATTTCTCAGTGCTTTTCATGTATGAGCTCATGTTTGATGGTAGTATATAAGATGTAGAGCATTATGTACATATAAGGTGTTATTGTTATTAAATATTTTTCTTTTTTAATTTTAAAGAAAAGAAAAATAAACACTAAAAACAGTATAAAATTTCAAAACAAGATTGTAGGAGAGTAACAGTGGTTAGTACGTTGCATATTGTTATCTTCAAAGTAGTTGCTCATATGCCAAGATACAGGCATGAAATACTGATCAAATAATACAGACATAAACCTTTCCTTTCGATGAGCTAATAGCCATTAGTAGCATAGCTATCAAGACCTGCAATCTAACTCTAATAGTGCTTGACTAGCCTGGTAAAATATCAGGCTGGAGCTACTCAAAGTTCTAAATTATTTTTAAGGTTTTCTTTGCTTAGTAACATAGGCTAAAATTACTTGTACAACTTTTCTCAATATCCACAGAGGGTCAAATGTTGAGAATACATGTTCTAAATGTCCAGATCATATGATAAATATCACAGTCACATTGAATCTAATTCTTACAAGAAAAAAATCTATGCATGTCCAGGAATTTGTGTTTAGCAGTAGGAAAAATTTCAACATCATTTTCTAAATAAATACTTATATGTTGCTGCCTATGTGTCAGATAATGTTTTTTGTTCTTTTGCTTTTTTTTTTTTTTTTTTTTTCCAAACTGGGGATTGAACTCAGGCCCTTGCACTTGCCAGAGAAGCACTCATTCTACTGAGCCATCTCCCCAGCCCCCAGATAATGTTTTAATCCTTTTTTTTTTTTTTTTTTTTTTGTAATGTGTTTGGTGTAGGATCTCACTACTCAGCTCAGACTCCTAGTGATCCTCCTGTTTTCGGCCTCTCTAGCACTGGGATTACAGGCATGTACCACCATGCCAAGTTTCATGGCCAGCAAGGCATATGGTGCCAGGGATCAAGCCTCAGTCCCTGTGCTTGCCTAAGCAAGTGCTTAGTCTGCTGAGCTATCTTGCCGACCCTTCCAGATACTGTTTTAAATGGTAACCAAATAACCACACATTTGATCCTTATAGCAAACCTATGCGTAGAGGGTGTTATCATCTCCATTTATATATGGGAAAACTGAGGTACCAAGAGGTTTAGCTTGGTCAAGACTTTAAAGCTAGTGAGGATGTCCAAATGGCTCTGTGGATTAAAGCACCTGCAAGCAGGCATAGGGGCCAAGGGTTCAATCCCCAGATTGCTGTGCTGGCCCCGCCCCTGGGGCACACTGAGATGGCAGTTGAGACTGGGTGTGATGGCACACGTCTGTAATCCCAGCTCTTGGGCAGCTGTAAACAGGTGGATTACTATAAGTCCAATCTAGTAGTGAGACCCTGAACACCCTGTAGACCCTTCCCTAAAAAATAGAAGAAAAAAAAAAAGCCAGTCAGAGAGAGCCAGTATTCTTTAAAGTCAAATACTGCGTCTCTGCCTTTGTACAAGGAGGCAGTATTTCTGCCATCTTTTACCAGGAGCCAGACCTTGATCTAAGTGACAGAGTGTGGCTGTTCAGTGGGCAGGGGATGAACTACACTTCCAGCCTTTAGATCCCAGCGCGCGTACACACACACACACACACACACACACCACCCTCTGGGCCAGCCACCCAGTTTCTTTAGGTGCCATCAATGGCACACAAGTTGTTCCCTCTCAGTCATGGTTGGGAGATTGATTAATTTAGTTAATATATATGAAGTACTGGACCAGTGCCTGGCACGTAGCATTGTACAATAAATGTTGGTTACTTGGTATTCTTTTAAGGACTTACATCAGAGTTCTTTTAGCAGTAAATTTCTCATGTAATCATCAAGTCTAAGGATAATTCAGAATCTGCAGTTTTCAGCCCTTTAGCCATTCTTTTATTAGGCTGTAGGCATGATTTCCAAAGGACTCTGGACCACATTTCTCTAGTTTTGCAGTACCACCTTCATTGTCATCACAATCCAGATTGAATAATTTCAGTATTAGTAAGTGACTCCCAGCCTAGGAAGCGCTGTGATGGTGGTAGGTGACTGAAGCTCATGAGGTAAGCAGGCCTCAGGCCTCGGTAACTTAGCTGCTTGGGGAAGACTCTCCCTGCAGAGCCAAAGGTGGCAATTTAGATAGTCATACTGTTACTTAGGGTTAGGACACAGTTCTGTCTTAAATCCTCTTCAGTCTTTGCAACTTTTTTCCTGAGTTAGCTGTTCCTCTTGGTGAAACCCATCTCCACAGTGGCTCACAGCTCTTATCTGGATCCAACTAACACCCACAGATCTTCTCCCCAACTTGTGGTTTCATCTGCTGTTAAGCCTGAACCGAGCTCTCACAAGGAGCAGCTTTGAAATGATTAAGTTGCATCCTTCACGGGGGTCAGTGGGTGGCGCTCACACGGCCGGGTGGGTCAGGAAATGTTCCCAGATGGAATCGCTACAACTTCAGCTCTCGGTGATTTTACTGCACTTCAGTCACTTTGCAGAGCAAACGCTGAGTCACCTCTTCACACTCTTACTACATGTAATGATCAGCATCCCTGTAAGACCAAAGTCTCAGGCCAATCCTTTGCAGCTTCAGTCATTTGAGTTTAAGTTAGTAAACACCTGTACCCTTGATGTCTTTGTGTCCCGCTGCTGTTGTGACTGAGTAATGGATTCTACTGTTGGCTTGATCTGCAATGAGTAAGGGTAAGGGGAGTCCACGGCCTGCTAAGGTGCCCAGCAGCATGCTTTCGGGTGCTGGCCCTACAAAGCCAAGAAGGAATAGTGACGCTGTGGACACAGACTGGGCCCTGTGGCAATTGAGCTGGTTAGCAGAAAGAGAAAGACAAACTATTATGACCGATGAATTTCCTTTCTTGTCCCTCCCAGGTGAGCCCTTTTCTCAGGAGGAAATGGAAGAAATGCTGTCAGCTGCAGTTGATCCAGAATCAAACTTAATTCATTACAAAGATTACGTAACAACGATGGTGGTCGATGATAATTAAATATTCCAAAGACTTCAAAGAGAATTTGAAAAGCTGCTTGCAAGTTCTTGTTAGTTTCATATTTTAGCTTTTAATGTCCATATCTAATTAAATACTCATTAAAGATATTATTGTCCTGTGACATAGCTATTTCAAGACATTTTGTTTTCTATCTTATTTATTTATGGCATAGGCTCTTGCTTTGTAGTCCTGGTGAGCCTAGAACTTGCTATATAGCCCAGCCCTCAAATTCCTTATTTTCCTGCCTCATTCTCCTGAATGCTGGGATTACAAGTATGCACATCACACTTGGCAAGATACTTTGTCTTCTAAAGACAAACATAACAATTTAAAACTAAAATTATTTAGTATATCCAGTTTTCTGAAATGTTAAATTGCCAATTATTTAAACTCTAATTGCTATTTTTTTTAACATTTTAACATTAAAATAGATTATTTTCCATGATAAAGCCCATGTTACTTTCAAATAAAAAAACCTGTCAAAATGAAAAATGCTCACAATACCTTTAGACATAAAAAGATCTTAGGGACAGACAGAATGATCACAAATTGAAAATGAGGAGCAGTATGATGCAGGTTTCCTTCTTAAAAATAAATACTTCAGTAACCTGAATGTGGAACGTTTTTGCAGTAACTATTAATACTTATATACCAATTAATCTTATTTGAGATTATGGCTGCAAAAATTGTATTTGCTTTTCTTTTTTAAAAATTATTTATTTATTTTTGTATTTGCTTTTCTAGCATGTACTGTTTATGAAATGACTAGAGCAGTTGAGATGATTGAATCTAGGGGAAAGGCTAAATGAAAAAATATTTTATTAGTGCGTGTTTATAGTACAGAATGTTTACATTCCTTGTGGGGAGATAGTACAGGTATTGAGTGAAAACTGATAATGTAAGGTAGTGACAGATTCTGTCTTGGTCTTTGGAATTCTTGCCTACTTAGAATTATCTGTATGGGAAAATTGTCCTGAATGTTGGGTATCAGCCCTTCTGTTACCATAACAAAATGCCTGATATGGACTAGCTTCGTACCAAAGGTTTTAAGTCACTCAGTTCTAGACAGTCAGAGTCTAAATAGCACTGTGTGAACCCAGTGAGGGGCTACCCTTGATGCAAGGCCCGGGGCCAGATGGCAAAGCGTGCAGTGTATTGGAGGCTCGCCAGAAGCCCGGGGTGAGGGGACATGCTGCTCTCTTTATCGCGCCTTCTCCCCAAGGCTGCCTCCCAAGGACACTTCTGGTGACCTGAGGATCACCCAGGGGCCCATCTCCTAAAGGTTCCACCTCCCAGTAGTGCCTTTCTGAGGACCAGGCCTCTAGTACATGGACGTGGGGGTGGGTACATCATCAAACCATATCCAAATAATGATACAAAGTAAGAATATTGAGAAATTATTTGATGTTCGGGAGGTGTAGCTGCTTAAAGAACCGAATAAAGTTCCCTGGCACTAAGGGACACAGTGAAAAAATACACAGGGACTTATAAGCAAAGAGGAAAACAAGGTAAAGGGAAATGAGCCTCCACATATATTCTTTCATATGGCCCACAAATACATGCAGAATGTATGTTAGACAAATACAGAGAGACTGTCCCTCAAAGGCCTATGTATTAAAGACTTGATGCTCATAGTGCCCCTGTTGGAAGGTGGTGGAACCTTTTAAGAAATGGGGCCTAGTGGGAGACCATAGGTCCTCAGAGGTGCGCAACAAGGGATAGTGGGAATCCATCCCCTTCCTTTTCTCTTTTTACTTCTTGGGTACCATGAAGTGAGCAGCTCCTTCTGCTTTGTTTTCCTGCATTACTTAAAACCTCCAAAACTATAAGCCAAAGTAAACCTTTCCTCTTTCTAAGTTGGTTACTTCACGCATTTTGTTATAGTAACGGAAAGCCAACCAGTACAACTGCCTGTGTGTTGATACATGTAAACAAGTGACAATGTAAGACTGCTGGGGTTCTTCCTCATACACATGTCCCCAAACAAGGATGTGCTACTCAAGGGAATATTTATCACTGTTCACTTGTTTGCAAACTTTTACTGAGTATCACTAGGTAACCTGGTAGGAACTGGAGTGGAAAGATGACTACATCTCTAACAGGTGAGCATCACAGTTCACTGAGGGAGAGCGGCAAGCCAGACACCAGCATGTTCAGTGGAGCACCGTGGAAGTGCAGAAGAGGCAGCAAACGGCCAAGGGCAAGAGGAGCTTCCTGCTGGATGAAGGCGTACAGGAGGCCCCTTGGGAAAGGCGCCTCGTGACTTCAAACTCCAGTAGTGTTTTAAACTTCTAAAAACTTAGTAGTTTTTGGCTGGGGAGATAGCTCAGTGGAATAAGTGCTTGCCTGGCAAGCACAAGGTCCTGAGTTTGATCCCTGGTACCACCAAACAAAGCAAAACAAGACAACAACAAAAATACTTAGTAGTTTTTGACTTAGTAGTTTGCTCTGTGGGAAGCAGGGCACAGGGTATGTCAGCAGGGACAGCAGTGACAGAACCCCAGGGATGTCATGCATACACAGCGATCTGGAAAATGAAAGTCAACCAGTGTGTTTGCTGTTTAGGAGACTTGGGGGGCCCCGTGAGACATGAAACTGGAGCAGGAGAGAGAGAGAGGTATGTAAATGATATTGGGTTAGAGGTAGAGTTAAGGTTGTAGAGTTAGAGTTTATAGTTCTGAAGGCCATAGAAAAAGAAAGGTATCACTGGTAAATATGGCTGGAAAATAGATTTGAAGGGTCAAGACCTGAGGAGACTGGTTGAGCAGAGATTGAGGGAGTGAGTTTTAGAAGATGGAATGTCCCTGGCATGTGTGTGTTCTGGAGGCTGAGAGCCACCAAGAAAGTGGAGGAGCCGTGTTCAGGGCAAAAGAGGGACCAGCTTGAGAACAGTGAGCTAGCGTCCATAGTTCCTGCCTGATGATTCTCTCTGTCTTCTTCCCTCCCTTCCTCCTTGTTTCCTTTATCCCTTCTTCCTTCCCCTTCTCCCTCCACCCCCTCCCTCCCTTCTCTTCTCTCTACTTCCTCCCTCCTTCCCTCACTCCCTCCCTTCCTTTCTTCTTTGTTTCCTTACAGATGTGTTACAGAGCTTGAAGAGAGATTTTGACATATCTCTTGTGGGGAATGGGAGATGGAGTTGAGAAGGCCCAGGTGGGGATTTTCCAGAAACTCCAGGAGGTTTTGCTTAGTTATCCAAGCTCAGAAGTAAAAAGGTAAATTGTTGTACTGAGTTGAAGTTAGGATTTTGTCACGTGGAAGTAATGGAAGGGAGCAAAGGCCAAGAGAGCAGAAGAACCTGAAGAACCAAGAGTTCTGGTCCTTGGGTTGTGTATTTGGGAAGATCCATGTGCAGTGAGCCCAGTGGGCTGAGGGGTAGGGCCCCAGGTTCTAGAAGGGCACCGCTGGTGTTTGGGGAGCAAAGCTCCCCATTCCTCCATCCCCAGGAATAATGTGCTTTGTTTGAAATTCGACTTCAATGAATTCCTACAGTATTTCTCTTATTCTCCCACGTTATTATACTTCGCAGTTTAGCTATCATTTGTTACCTGATTGCTGTGTTTTAGGCCCTATTCTAGGTGCTTTACCTCATTTAATCCACTTGACCACCCAGTGAGAGACGTCCTGCTTTCCAGAGCTGGCAGCAAAGTCACACAGCTGGGGGCCTTGCCAGTCAGCCTTTCCCAGGTGACACTGTAACAACGTGCCTCCCGATCTCAGTCATTCACAAAGCAACAGTCATATGCTGCTCATGTTTTATGTTGGCTGGATGGTGCTTCGGGGTGCCGTCATCCTCCCCCCTTCCTAACCAAATAACCACGTATCACTGTTCGCCCAGGGCAACCCTAGCCTGGTGCCAGCATAATCCTGGCGTTATGTCCCTTTTACTCTTAGAAATAGCCCCAGTTTAGATGACTCACATGTGCTCATCCTTGTCACAAAATCAAGGGTAAAATCAATGGTAAGAAATCACTTCCTGAAGATCTTAGGAAAAATAGCCACAGTGGCGAGAGTAATAGAAAATGTTTCTTTCTTTAGTAGTTTCCCAAGATAAAATAACTCTTTTTCTGGGATCACTTGGAATTTTCTCCAGGTAAAATCCAAGTGATGAAACTCAGCTGTACCTTTTGAAATTGTCCCCCAGGGAAGAACCTAAGGGACCAGCTGTACAAAAGGGCCCTGGGAGTGCTCAGACAGGCCTGAGGATCGGCGACACACTGAAGCCAGGATGGAGGGTGGCAGAGTCGCAGAACACCCTTCAGGGTTGGCACACACCCAGGGCCCCCTTCTGCAAGCTGGCAGTAGCGTGCAGCCCAGTGGGTGAACCAAGGCAGGGACTTGTTTGGAGCAGACAAGACAGCCCTGAGTGGTCGCCCTAACCGCTACACCACCTGATGCTCGTATGTAAAAGAAACACAGTCTAGTGAATGAACCCCAGTCTCATGATAATCAAGTGGGCCAACACGCCCCCCATACTCCATACCCAGAAGGCAGCAGAAGGGACACATCAGGATTGACTGCCCCCCAAGGCCCACCTTCTGGAATTGTTCCAGAAGTTCTATCTGATGTCAAATGCTGTGCCTGTCTCAGGGGTATCCTTTCTGTTCGGTGGTCTCAGAGCTGGGTCTCGGGGAGGTAATGACCTCTTTCACACCAATTTCCCTGTTTCTTTTTTAAGACTACTGAACAGTGAAACACAGGCTTTCCCACAAGTCTCATTTTATATTGCAGTTGCTAGATAAACATACCATGTTTGCCAAGGGAGCCCTTTTATACTTTTGCGGCACTGAGGACTGAACCCACAGCCTGGCACATGCTGGCAAACTCCCTACCTCTGAGCTATGCCCCCAGCTGAACACTTTTCTTTCTACTCAACGCATTTCAGCTGCATTTTACCTCTTAATTGCCTACCTTGCTCTGAACATCCAATTTAAATCACAATAGCATTTTCCTGGCAAGGAGAGCTCAGGCTGTTGCACAGAAAGTTTGCTTATCCTGAGACTGGCCCAGCGGCCCTGCCTGCTCTGTAGAAAGAGGCTCTGTTCTCACACTTTCGGGGCTGGGAAGCTGCATGACTCAGGCCTGGGAGCCTGATGATCTTGTGCTCCAGTCCTGCTTTACCTGTGACTCACCTTTACCAGCTCTGCACCTCTGTCTGGAAGACAACGAACGAACGCTTTGGTCCCCCTCCTGCCTGCAGAAGCAAGTACCAAATGCCCAAGGGCTCCATGCCTAAGAGAGACGAAAGGCCCCTAGCTGGGAGGAAAGCTTCTAGCTCAGGGCAGGCTTGTTTCCTGTGACCTGGAGGCTTTCTTTCCTGTCTTCCTCTTCCTTTCCTGTTTCCATATAAGAAATTACCTTGTTTGTACAAGTAATT